GGGTGTAGCACTAAATTCGTGTGAGTCATTCAGTGCGTGTGGAATAGCGGGTAACCAGTTTTGATCCAAAAAAAGAGGATGACATCTCCAATTCCTCGGATCACTGAGCTTTCCCTGAAGTATGTAAAGTCTCCTCGATTCATAGTTTTTGCGTATTTCTTTGAGATTACTGTATATAACTGACATCTGGCACTATAACAACAACTTTTTACACATACTGAGAAGTATATCTCTCTTGATGACGGAGTATATACACCGAGAAGTATGTATCTCTCATTGCATATATGTTGAGAGTTTACTTTAATCCTTATATGCTGGACATAGCTTATAGGGGTCCAAGAGCTAGCACAGTCTCATACTATTATGTTAGAGCACACACACACACACACACCCCAGGAGCTGTGATTCGACCCCTGAAACCACAATTAGGTGAGTACACAATCGGCCAATAACTCAGTACAAATCATTGTAAAGTAACTTGTGTTGTGACAGGTGATGACAATTGGAGCCCGGAAGGAGGTAGTGTTGTCTGCCGGAGCAATACGGTCGCCCCATCTGCTGTTGGTGTCAGGGGTCGGACCACAAGACCATCTGCAGCGTCACGAGGTAAGGAACCACAACACCTGAAGCAGTGCCGGATGTAAGTGGTGAGGGGTCCAGTTTGGTGGGGGGCCCCTTTCATTAAAAAGATGTAACTCTAATGGATAGAAGACTTAAAGTTTCTCCTTGGAAAACTTTCGCCATTCTCATTATACGTACTATCCTCTTAGATGAAGAAATGAAACAATAAATTTGATTCATTTGCAAGTGTAACTCAAAGGTAATGTACAGACTTATGAGGTGTTATCTTCAATCAGATAAAATATTATAAGCCAGGTACATCCCATGTTTTTCTGAGGGAGAAGTCTCTGATGACTCCATCAAAATCCAACGAGCGCAGGATATCAGATTCTATCCTCATGACCGTTAGGTTCAAAAGCCGCTCTTGTTTCATGCTCGTTCGTAGCCGTTTCTCATTACCACACTGTTGTTCACATACTGACCATGATCAAGCAGTCATACTGCAGTGCCCTGCACACCCAGGATGATGTGCTGTGAGTCATCCTCGCGTCATGCAGCTGACGACACGCTCGCACCGATGATGTAACATCTACTCAACTTGACAATCCCACCACAATTCAAACTCTTGCATACACTTTCTCTTTTTGCGATCTAGTCAGTTCTCAGTATAATGTATGTCATAATATTTTTCACCATTTGGTGGGGAAGGGGGCCTTCTGGTTGAGGCCTTGGGGTCCCTCCCTTAAATCCGGCCCTGACCTGAGGTGCTACAAGGTAAGACCAGCTCATCCTGCAATGATATTTTTATGGTGCACACTGTGTGCACTACAGAATTTATATATGAAAGTGAAGATATTTACATAAGTTTTCCTTAATCTTCTCTCCGTTTCTTGAAACTGGATAACTGCAAAACCTGGATTCAGTTCTCATCAGCTTTACAAAACAACTTACATATCTTGACTGACTGTGGACTTAACAAGGCTATCCATTTACAGGCATGTTAAATTAAAGACGATACTTCTTGATCTATAGCCACTCTTTATATACGGGCGGTGTTGCATAGAGATAATGTGTTCAAATACTCCAGTCTGTGATATACCTTAGTCTTTTTTACGTGGGATGGAATTCCTACCATCCCATGATGTGACCATTAATATTTTAAGAGGGGCAGAGCTAGAAGAAGGCCTCGGTCATATGACCAATGGTTCTGACCCGCGCCAGAAGATATTTTCGGAATTTCCCCACCCCACTTGTTCTATCTAGGCTGGAATATTGCTTCACTCTAACAGCACCTTTCAAGGCAGGTGAAATTGCCGACCTAGAAAATGTACAGAGAACTTTCACGGCGCGCATAACGGAGATAAAACACCTCAATTACTGGGAGCGCTTGAGGTTTCTAAACCTGTATTCCCTGGAACGCAGGAGGGAGAGATACATGATTATATACACCTGGAAAATCCTAGAGGGACTAGTACCGAACTTGCACACGAAAATCACTCACTACGAAAGCAAAAGACTTGGCAGACGATGCACCATCCCCCCAATGAAAAGCAGGGGTGTCACTAGCACGTTAAGAGACCATACAATAAGTGTCAGGGGCCCGAGACTGTTCAACTGCCTCCCAGCACACATAAGGGGGATTACCAACAGACCCCTGGCAGTCTTCAAGCTGGCACTGGACAAGCACCTAAAGTCAGTTCCTGATCAGCCGGGCTGTGGCTCGTACGTTGGTTTGCGTGCAGCCAGCAGCAACAGCCTGGTTGATCAGGCGCTGATCCACCAGGAGGCCTGGTCACAGACCGGGCCGCGGGGGCGTTGACCCCCGAAACTCTCTCCAGGTAAACCCCAGTTAAACAGCACTAAGAGGTAGAAGACTAATTATATTGATGTCATTAAAAGTGGCACTGGTAGTGTCATGATGATATGAGAGTAAAATTTGACTACCAGCGCTTATGTGTTTTGTCAAACATTTGTTATATACACTAGTGAACAATGAACAGGTAAATATTTGTGAAGATAATTATGTTAGCACAAGTAAGGTAAGCCTGAGTGCAGAACTAAGGGACAGGTTACACTAATAAGTTACTTGTGGTACACGCAGGTAGAGATTGTGGCAGATGTACCGGGAGTGGGCCAGAATCTGCATGACCACGTCTGTGTGCACGGCCTCAGCTGGACCACCAGGAAGGGTGTCACGTCTAGCACACTCTGGAACACCCTCAACTTTGCTTCCATCAAGCAGTACGTTAACAACAGGGGAGGTGAGTTCTCATTTTCACTATTACATCATGGTCCCACCTGTCGAAAGCTTTCGGAAAGTCTATGTATACTACATCTGCATTTTATTTATCCTCTAGAGCATCCAGGACCTTGTCATTGTGGTCCAATAGTTGGGACAGGCAGGAGCGACCTGCTCTAAACCCATGTTGCCCTGGGTCGTGTAACTGATGAGTGGCAATCTTGCTAGCGCTATCGGTCTGTAGTTATTTACAATTGCTAAGCTACCACCTTTGTGGAGTGGGGCTATGTCTGTTGTTTTTAGTGACTGTGGGACGACCCCTGTGTCCATGCTCCCTCTCCATAGAATGCTTAAAGCATGTGACAGGGACTTCTTTCAGTTCCTGATGAGCTCGGAGTTCCACGAGTCTAGGCCTGGGGTAGAGTCATATTGCCCTTTCGAAGTTTATGGTGCTAGGATAATATCAGAGATTTTTGAAATGACCGAATTTTGAGTCTTGGTCATAAAAAATCATTTAGATTGTCAACCCTTAGTCTGATTAATGATTCACTAAACACTGAGTCATATTGGGACTTTAGCATCTCATTTCTTTGCTGTCATCTGTTTTTAAGTCCCATCTCGTTTAAGCAGGGGTCCAATACTGGAAGTTGTTTTCACCTTAAATTTGGCATAAGAAAAGAAGTATTTCGGGTTTCTTTCTGTTTCATTTATGGCTTTAAGTTCTTCCTGAGATCCTTGTCTCCTGTAAAATTCCTTAAGCTTATGTTCGATATTTGCTATTTCCCTGACCAGTGCCTCCCTTCGTACTCAAGATATATTGGCCCCTCTCAGCAGCTCTGCGATTCTTTGCCTTCGCCTGTATAGAGAGCGTCTCTCTCTCTAGTTTAGAGGAATATGCCTTGAGCATATCTCAAGTGCCACATAGTTAATTCTTTCTAGGCAAAGGTTCGGATCCATGTTGTTTAGGATATCTTAACAGCATGTTTCATTTAGGACATGGTTGCCTTGTTCCCACTATATGTTTTTGTTACTGAAGTTGAATTTGTTGAACGCTCTCTCATAACTGATCACATTTTGCTGGTGGGAGCCCTGCACATACGTTTGTACCTCTATTATTATTTCGTATCAGATCATCATTGTTAGTAAAGATGAGGTCCAGTGTATTTTCTAGTCTTGTAGGCTCTATTATTTGCTGGTTTAAAGTGAATTTGGTGCAGAGATTTAATAGACCGTGTGTGTGTGAATTTTCATCTGAGCTGCCTCCTGGGGTAATCTCTGCTAAAACATTATTTGCTACATTTCTCCATTTTAGGTGTCTCAAGTTGAAATCCCCCATTAGCAAGATGTTTGGGGCAGGAGTTGGGAGAGTTTCCAGACAGTGGTCAATTTTCACAAGCTGTTCCTGGAATTGCTAGGAAGTTGCATCTGGAGGCATATATACAACCACAATGACAAGGTTTTGGTTTCCGATCTTTACTGCTAAAATTTCAAATACATCATTTGAGGTGTTTAGTACTTCTGAGCAAATGAGCCACTCTGTGACGTACAGGCCAACCCCTCCTTGTTGCCCGTTTAATCTGTCGCATCTGAATAGGTTATAACCTGGAATCCATATTTCGTTGTCAAAGTGATCCTTTATGTTGGTCTCTGTGAAATCCGCAAACAATGCGTTTCACTCTGCGAACAGTCCCTTGATGAAAGGTATTTTGTTGTTTGTTGATGTTTACGAAGATAAATGTCGTTATATTGATGGAATGTAGGGGGCTTTGTTTGCTGGCATTAGTATCTGTTATCCTGGAGTGGAGACCAATGACTGCTCCTTCACTCGAGAAGTGTTTTCAGTTGTTATAAGATTTGTCATTTCTTGCCAATCTTTTTTCTTCCTGGAACTAAAAAAAACCTTCCGTCTCTGGAGTGGTTTTGGCTCCCCTCTTTTGAGTCCCATGGTCTGGTTGATCTGTATCTTCTAGTTCCCTTTAGATGATGTGCTTGACAATATATGTTGCATCTTTGTCTTTCTTGGACTGACAAGTGACATTTCCGGGTGAAATAAGTTACATGAAGAGGAGCTGCACCCTCTTGTTGTCAAGTGGGCGCGGCATTTTTGGGGATGACCAAAAATGCACGTCCCACCTGTTTTTCCTGATATTCCATGTCTGCAGATACCCAAGGTATAGAATTTGCATAAATTGGATTTCTGTTTGCCAGGATTTTTTGTGGCTGTGTTCCCTACTGGTGCATTTTTCTGTCTCCTTACTGCCTAGAGCCCTTGTACTAACTTCAGTGTTTCCACCAGTTTTTACTAGTGTGTCAACACTATTAACAGAAGCATCAACCCCTTTTATTCCATCTCCATCGGTATTGCTACTTTGTACCTCTGGAAATTGAATAATGTTGTCTTTACCTGTTTCATCACCAGGGCCACTGTCTCCTTCTGGTGCACTGTCCTCCAAGACAGCCCCATACGACCCACTCCTTTTATTTTCCCAGCTGTTATACAAGATTGTCATGTTTTCTAGGAAGGATATTTGTTGCTGGTGGTCCTGTCTTTTAGTATAGATGTAATTTTCTCCCACAGGTGTCTCTCACTTGGGCAGACCCATATGCATTTTCCTGATTTTATATCAATAGTGGTTGATATAAACGACCCATTGGGACATTTACCACAGAGATTGCATGCAATCCAAGCGTGACTTCGTTTGTTACTCTTGCTGCAGATTACACAGATTTTCATGATGGTAGTAGTTTTGTATCCCAATCTTTTTGTCTGCAAGCCTGCAAGAGTGACAAAAAAATCCAAATGTTATCCTTCTACACAATAGGTAAACTACTGCTAAAACTTCCCGTATTTTGCATTAACAGGTGGTTTAGGAGACACACTAGCAGGTGTGCACGATGCCTGGGGAAGGTGTCTATATGAAGGAGACCCTCTCTCTGTGCCAGACATACAAGCGCTCTTTCTTTGCACACCTGTGCTCACACGCCATCGATTTTGGTATTTTTCACTCCTGGAATTCAACGGTGTCTGACAAATCGTGAGTGAATTTTTTTAAATAGTTTTATTTTGGTCTAGGCTAAGAGATATTACCATGCCGCACAATATTTATTTCAGAACAGAGGTCAACTATCTCTCTCTTCATAGATCTAAACTTACCTACGACCCTGTTCAGTAATCCCACATTTAAGCTACTTTGCTAAATCATCTTCTACATCTACAGGACCTTAAACTCCAATATTTTAAACCTTGACCTAAACGCTTTCTTGATAGTTTTTGACAGAACCCACAGGCATAAAAAAAAAACCCATTAGCATAGGTGGCCTGGTGGTCGGGTGGCTATAGCTCTCCCCGATTCACACACTGAGGGCCCGGGTTCGATTACCAATTCCCGGCGGGTGGAAATTCCCGACACGTTTTCCTTACACCTATTGTCCTGTTCACGCACAGCAGCAAATAGGTACCTGGGTGTTAGTCGACTGGAATGTTGGGTCGCATCCCAGGGGACATGATTAAGGACCCCAATGAAATAAGTTAGACAGTCCCTCGATGACGCACTGACTTTTTTCTTGGGTATCCTGGGTGCTAACCCTCGGCGGGTTAAAAAATCCGAAACAAAATGCTTATCTTATACTTATCTAACCCATACAACAAACACTCTCGACATTCCCCGTGTCCGACTAAAACCTTTTTACAAAAATACAATGAAAGTCAAATGGCCCTAAAATCTGGAACACCATTACCTGAAAAACTCTAGAACTGCAGACACATATCATCACCTTCAAAACTACAATTAGAAAACATCTTATCTCCCTGATACACCCCAGTCAACTAACTAGCAAGTACACAACTACACGAATACTACCATGTGGTTCACGATCTTACACTACACCTCACTCCATTTGACTATAAACAGAAACATTAATCTCAATCTTAAAAATAATGAATCTAACTATCATAATTTGCCTGTGATAACTCCAATACTGAAACTATGTACTGTGCCCAAAACAAAAGCATTCACATTGCTAAACTCACAAACTAGTATTTAGTCACTTAGCCATAATACCAACTTACCTCATAATTTGTAATATTTTAAAATTAAGAATTAAACTAAGTCTGCCCGAAATGCCTAGCCATGCTAGGTGTTCTAGTGGTACACTCTGTAATTATTATTTTACATGTAAACCACACAATAACCAAATTCTGTAAACTCAGCATTGTAATCCTTATAGAGAATAAACTTTGAATTTGAATTTGAATTTGAATTTGAAGGTATTCTACTGTTCACCCTCAGGATGCAACCTGCAACAATCAAATAAAATCCTGGTACTTATTTACCGAAGATGTTAGGAAACTTTCCTTTTGTCTTGGTCCGCCGGAAATCAAACCCAGAACCTTCCAGTTGAGCCTAAAGCTCCACCTAATTGTTATTGCAGAGAGCGAGTCTCAGCACCAGGCCATGCCTCTCGGCTCGCTTCTACTGGGTTCACTGTCCTAGCTGTGTGATCCCTGTCATATCTAATGTTAAAACTATGCATGGATTCTGCCTCTACTTCTCTATCTAGGCCGTTCCACTTCTTGGCCACTCTAATATAGATATCAGAGAAGTTTTGTGGCATTGTATTAATAATCTAGATATTGTCTATCACTTGACTTTCTTCACAGTGATGAGAACAAAATTCTGAACTAATTACATTGTCTTAAAATTTAGTCGACGACAACAACTTAAGCATCGGCATAGTTTTAAGATGCTCTTTATAAGCCACTGACTGGGGCATATTTCCAAGACACACACAGTGAAAAACGACAGTTAAAATTTATTTTATTTAAAATAAAACCGATCTGACAAATTAACTAGCAAGAACCATCCTCTCTGGTTACCAGCGTCACTTGATTTCACATTACAGAGGTGGAAAGGGTATATGCAGGAAATCTACGGCATGGACGGGTTCGGCATGAGACCTATCCTTCTCCGTCCTAAGAGTCGAGGGACCATCACCCTTAAATCTGGAGATCCCAGACAACTACCCAAAATTGACCCAAACTACCTCCATCACCCGGATGACCTCCAAACCCTTGCTGATGGTTAGTACTTAAGTCAGATTCAGATTATTTATTTAATTTAAAGTAAATATAACATATGGTGGGGACGAGGTAACAGATTCGTGAAGGAAAAGATGATATTAAAAAAAAATCTGATATTCATTATGTATAATTATTTCTTGTAACAATATGGATAGTGTAATTAGTACTGTTTGCGGCAGTTCCCAGTAAATATACAGTATATAAAAAACTTATCACCAGCCTTACCTTAAAAAATATAATACAGGAATTAGTATTCATTATGCACAGCGACTGATTACTGTTAAAGTTAATTAAAACCTTTCGAATGCACGTGACTCATTAAGAACACAGTTCACCTCTATACTAATTTAAAAAAATATTTTAATCACTAAAATAACGATTTAACTTAGTGCATGTACACTAAGGAAAAAACTTACAGGGTTCAGCGTCCATACCACTGCAGTGACTGCAGTATATTTAGGGTCTGATCCAGCGCATTAACTGTCCATTACAAAAGTGAGCAGGTATTGTGTTTGTTAAAACAATGCTTAGTTCAGATCTCCTGAAGATTGCCTCTTTCTTCCCAAAGAAAAACGATTAACGAAATTTATGCATCTTTCAAACGCCAATTTTTAATTCTGCACCAATACTAACCTAGCCTAACTTTGCTAAAATTTACGTACTAGTTATAATATTTAAACCTTTTTAAAACATTACACAACTTTAGTTAATGACTTTCCTTTTTGGGGGGG